TAGTTTGCAAATGTGTAGTTAGGATAATGATCTAGAGTTATTTTTGGTGATTATTTAACAATACAGATAAATATTGAATAAAGTACACCTAAAACTAATAGATGGCCTGTTAATTAAATCTCAATATAAATAAGTAAATAACTAAGTAAAAAAAATCAGGAATCAGAAACCAAAATGACAAGTTGGAATTTAAATAGTTATAAGACATCTAAGTTTTCCCTAAATTTTTGTAATTCACTATAGAAATGGGAAACTAAAAGATTTTTCTGCTGAGTAAAGAATGGATTAACACTTATTCTTATTTAACTATTAATTTTTCAAATAAAATTCACAGGGCACTCAGAAATAAAAGTTATCTTATTTACACACATTTGCCAAAAGTGATGAAAATAAGGGTTTAGATAAGATTGTCTATTCTTTCAATTAGAGTTAATCTGTTCCCCAACTTTCAAACATTACATTCTACATTTATTTCTTGCTCAAACTGAAATTTGGTTTTTCATTCTCTAGTAAGATAATTATTTTTGATAACTTAAAATGTTTGTAAGTTTTCTGTTGAATTTCAATTGTAGTAGCTCTAATTAATTGATGAAAGTTTAAATATAATTATTTTTGTCCATGATAGTTGTTTGAAGTCAACAAACAGTTAACACCAACATTTTATAGCAAAAACTACTACATGTCATTAGTTGAGCTCACAAAAGTGTGAAGAAAAACTGCAATTATTGTAGTATGTACAAATAGGTAGGTTAATAAGCACAGCAATTCAAATAGGAGGGGTAGATAATGTTAACTTATACTTCCCCTTCTAGATTTAGAAGTGTTGTCAACAATTATGTTCTTTATTGTTAAGATTTCAATTTATGGTTAAACAAATGAAAGCTTGATACCTTGGCTTACCATTGGGGGTTAGAATTGTTAATTTTCCTCAAAAATAACTTAAAATACTAAGATCATAGAGAGTAAATAAGCATATGTGAATTTCACCAGAAGCTTGAATTCAGAGTTACAGTTTTAATGCACTTAACCACTCCAGATCAAATAGGCAGGCAGGTAATTGTATTTTTCAAAGAGCATATGAAATTTACCAAAACACAATAGAAGTAACAATATTAAAATATCATATTCTAGAAAATGAGCTCAATATATTGTGACTCTGTATGTATAAGTGCCAAGTATTGCTTTCAAAAGATTCCTCCCCCAAAAAGAATAGTGTCTCCCATTTCTATTTATTCTTAGGTGATTGTTTAAAAGTTAAGTTAGTTTACACTTTTGAAAATAGTTGAATAATTCTATTAAAAACTTATTCAAACACTCATGTGTAACTTTTTAGTTATTTATCCATTAGTCTCTAAGTGCTTCCTCCCTCAGCACAGATACAGTTCAAAAGGTGGCCAGCAGTTGGCCTCATTTCAGTGGATTTTCACTGAAGTCCAGATTTCATTCTTTGCAAACATTTAAGCACTGTATGCTTAAATAACATTTTCATAACTTAAGAGGATATATATAAAAATCTTTCAAAGGAATCCAAAAGAAACACTTCTTTTAAAAATAAAAACCAAACAAAAGAAAGCCACACACACTATAAAGATGTTCTCTGCAAAATATTCTGTTACAGCAGATCTGAGTATCTCTCCAAAGGGATCCAGAACCACTTGGTTGGAAACAACTGAGAACTCATAACAGGTTGGTGAAAAGCCAGCAGCGACAGCCATGAGATTCTTAAAGCAGGTTAGTAGTGGCTAAGATACCAGGCAATGGATCTGGCCTTGTCTCCCCAATCCATTTACCCAGAATGCCTTTGACTGCACCAGTCAACCACAAGACAGTGGTTCCAAAGCCACAGTCCTTGGTCTTCTATTCTTTTCTCCTTTCATTATCTCCCTTAAGATGCAGACCTACTATGATATTTATAACAATTCATAAATCCACATCTGTTTTTGTTACAGTACCCAAACCAATACTTTAACTCCAACTTCTGGTGCAAATATTTTACCAGGATATATACCATCATCAATTCACATTAAACAGATGCAAAACAATCTTATTCACCTTTAAAATAAACAGTTCCCCCGTTCAGGTTCCTTGCCCATTTTTCTGTTCACCAAGACTTAAAACACAGGAGCAATTAAAGCACCCTGTAATTTTTACCTCTCATCCTATGTGTACTTCCTCAATGAATTGTCACTTTGTTAGGAGGAAAGGATGTCCTGAACGAACTCTGCAGATACAGGTTTTATGGACTCCACCCCCTACTCCAGTTATCGAAACTACAACTCTGCCCCCTACTCTAGTCACTGAAACTATAACTCCCAGCAATACCAAGGGAGAACTGTGAGCTCCAACAGTGGAGCTAAGCAACCATTTTGGGGATATATATCTAGGAGCCAACTCTCTCTTGGCCTCATGGCGGGTGGCTGGTAGCTTGGCTCTTGATGAACTTTCAGTGTGCTACTGGAGTTCCAAGTCTGCAGAACTGGTAGGATGTTCTAGTTAACTTGTATCCATCTCTCTCTTTCCCTGGGTCATTCCTTTTCCTTTCCCTTTGTAAATAAACCCATTATTGACTCTTTGTATGTGCCTGCAGTACAATTAAATCTTAAGCACAGGGGTGAGGACCCACAGACAGGCAACCCAATTCACACTGGGTTGCCCTTTAACAACTTTGCCATCCAAAGGTAGATTCTAATGTCTCTTCCCTTGAAAACACTTACTTAAAACCAAAAGAACATGATGAAGCAATGCTATGAGATGTGGAGTCTAGGTCAGGAGAAAACATGAAGCTTCTGCCTAGTTCTCTTGGAGAGCAAGCTGTGACATAAGGACATCAACTAGCTTAAAACTGCCATGCTGAGAATTACATGAGTCCTAACGGGGGCCAGTCTTACAATTCATCCCACCAAGGTGCCATTAATGTGAATAAAACTTCCTTCAGCCTTCATGACCAGTCACCTGCCATCTACTGAACTCAGTCTATACGCTGAAGAAAAGAATAAACCAGCTGAAGCCTGCCAAATTTTGAAACACAAAATGTACATAAGCCAATTTGTGGAAAGCTTTCCTTCTGAGCTTTCGATATGCCATATGTGGAGTTGTTACTACATGGGCTAAATGTTGACTGAGACAAATTTCTTTCTCTCCATTCCCACACAATTGCCTTGGTGGAAGCTCCAATCATAATAGGCAAATATCCTTTGCCTTATGTTAGAGATAAAGAGATCAGAGGCTAAGTCAACAAATTTTTATACAATCTCAGTCACAGTAAGTAGAAACCATATGAACAGAAGTGTAAGTTTGTATCCTAGATTACTGCGATTCCCGCTGTTCTCCAAAACCTCCTATGCATTACTTCAGATAAAAAATGCTCAATGTCTTTTCTACCCCTCTACAGCAAACCTACTTTCCAAGTGTCTGCAATTTTTTGCCTCAATCTGTCCAACAGCATGATACTGCCCACTAATTCCACCACCACCATCTCTACAAGTAAACTGGCTACTTTACTCACTGGACAATATATCATGTTGATTTTAGCCTCTGAATAGGGACTCACAATGTTTCCTTCTTTCTTTTCTCTTTCCACCCACTCAAACCCTACTCAGGCACAAATCCCACCTTTCACTAAGCTTCACCAGTCTACCCTGTTGCTCCTATAGAACCTGTAATCTTCACCCAAAACTTGACAACTGAATTGTTTATCTTGTTCAAATGCACTGTTCTCATTTTCCAAGCTGGAAATTCAACTAAACCATCTATGTAGATAATAGCAATGTTGGGTGTTCAACGAGTTCTGACCAATCATGACAAACAGTATCCATGACCTAACATTTGTCAAATATTTTTATTATTTTTTATTTAATGTTTAATTTCATTCCTGCTTATTTATTATTTCCCAAACTAACCATAAGCTCTTTGAGAACAGGAACGATGTCATACAAAGAAGTATTGTATTTTCAAAAACAAGCATAGTACTAAGCACAGAGCTAGTTTCAATATATGTTAACTGAGCTGAAGAGTGAAGTGTGTTGTGTTGTGAGAAAAAATAGCCTTAAGTCATGTCTACACTGGAAAAAAGGTGTTGAAAAGATAACAACATATTTTCAAGATCAGTGGTTTAATGTCAGGGCCATTTTTTCAAGTATCATTTAAAGATACTCTGTGCTGCTCATAACTGCCAAGATGTTTTATAAATGTTTTTACCGGGAGTGTGAAAAAATACTTCAAAAATATTCAAGTAGATGTCTTAACAACCCAAAATAAAATGTTTGCTGAGGCTACAAGGCTGGCAGAACGCTGCTTCATTTCAAAAAGTTTCCAGGCAATGGAAATGTTTTCCTGGAAAATACTACCTTTTATTTAGACAACACTTGCCATGAACACTTAGTCATTAAGTAATTTAAGGTTTCTTCACAAGCTCTTTGGAGGAAATCTATTATATGAATGAATGAAATTATCAGCACCTATAATGTCAGAAAAAAAATACATTTGGCTAAATGTATGAAATTCACCTAAGTGTTTTTCTAGGGGAAGGGGGAGGAGATCTTTTATACGTTTTGGTCTTTTCACTGTGCTTTTAGATTTTTCTGTAAGAGAAAATTAGGAAGAAAAACATAAAATCCCTACATGTTTCTCTGTCATATACAGAAATCCAAAAAACTAGAGAGCTTCTTTTATTCCAAATGCCAAGTAATTTTCAAACACACAAAACAGTAATTTCTCTCAATGAAAAGAAATAGCAACCTCTAAGTTATTTTTAGCAAAGTTTTTGAGTTTGCTTCGAATCACCTTTCAATGGGAAAGTAACTCAGCATGGACATTTCACTCAATCATCTGCAATACATCAAACAATGAAACCTCAGACAACAAAGTCTTCCCAAAATTTCGAAACTAAGTTTTATTCTTCTAAACATCAAAAGACACAACAAAATTCTACTTCAATCACATGGTTTATATATTTAGTCCTTTTAAAATATGTACACAAAAAGATACTTGTTTTGTTTTACCTGTTCAGTATTTCCGTGAGTTTCACAAAGCCAGTGTAAGCCAGTTCAAAGGCTCCTCTGTGCCTAGACTGTAAGAGGTGTTGTTTAAAGTAATCGCCTATTTCTTTTACCTTTAAAACAAAATAAAAAATAGGTATTTAGTTAACACGTATATTTACAGATACACTTATGTAAGTAACGTAACTTAAAACAGGTCTAGATATTCATGCATTTGTATCAACTATAGAATAGGTAGCATTTTAAACAGTTCTCTAACATCTCATTTAATCCCTATAATAAGTGCATAAAAGAAGTCCTATTATTATTTCTACTTAACAATGGGGGGAAAAGAGACCCAGAAAGGATAAGTAACTATTCAACATTGCACAGCAAGGACAAAACTGCAGTCTGGCTTCGGGCTTGGCATTTTTAATGCCACCCAAAACTGCCTTCCCATGCCAGCTTCACGGGTGTGCTCTTTAATACTTATTATTCAACACCAACAGCAAATCACACAAGGTGAAATCCTTGGTGGAAAAAAATAACTTTTTCTTCCACTATTTTTTTCTATTGTGGCTAAAATATATACAACATGAAATTTACCATCTTAACTATTTCAAAGTGTATAGTCAGTGGCACAGTACAGTTAACATCTGTGCAACCATCCCCAGAACTTCTTGCATCTTCCCAAAATGACTCCACCCATTAAACACTAATGCCCGTAACTTTGGAGATATACAAATGTGAATGGAAATGCAGGTTTATTTATAAAGCACTGTCTGAAAATGAACAAGCTTTACTCTGAGTCAGAACCAGGAAATTTTTCAGAAAGCTACTGAATTGTATTCCCACACGTTGCCTTTCTATAAGTAAGGCTAGACAAGTAACAAAAATGTCAATTTATTTAAAAGAAGGCTTGAATGCAATTAGTTGCTGATTAAAGTTTTGATCAGAATTAGCTATTAAATTGGTTAGGAGATTGTACATATTACCATTAGCTTGACTATGAGCTTTAGAAAAATCCAGACTGGTATAAAACAATTATAGAACCAAAGATAAAATGGGCTTTCTTGACCAGGTCTCCCCAGGAGACCAGAGTTGGTAAAAAGGCAAACTGTTCCAATAGCTCAGATATGCTTACCCAGAAACACCTACCACAGCACAGTGGTAGATTTGTACTCTGCACACATCAGAGATGATAAACAACTCAGTGGTTAAACACGTGACCATGAGCAAATTCTCAGTTTCTTCATCTATAAACTGGGGGTAATAACTGTAGTTGATTCACACATAGATTGGGTACTCAGTTAAATTAGTAAATCTAAATGCTAAGAATAGGTCTATAATCTATAATTTGTTTCCATATTAGCTCTGTGTGGGCTTCTCAATAGAGGAAAAGTAAAGACAGAGTCTACACTCAAAATAGATCTGATTATAAAGAGACAAGTGATTCACTTAAAGAAATAAAAATCAGATCTGGGGCCAACAAAAGCACTATGTAATAGGATTTTTTTAATTCTAACTTTAATATCCTACAGAATGACATGTTATGTTACCAAGCCATGCTTTATGTAAAAATCTGTTAAGTACTCCTAATTTTTTTTTTTTTTAAGATTTATTTATTCATACAGAACTGGTCAGAGATGCAGAGTATGAGAGGATTCACCAGAGACAGACTAGGAGCAGAATAGGCAGGTGGACGAAGTACACTGGTGAGGGGAGAAGCCGGTGGGTCAGGAGAGGTCTGCTGCGCCATGTGGATCTCCTTCGGGGCAGGCGGGGATCAAACTCATGCTGAAGTGGCTTTAGCTTCTTAGTGCTGTGCTTTAACCCACTGCACCACCAGGGAGGGCCCCTGTGTGTGACTTTTAACAACTGATAGTGTGTGTGGCCTTTTAAAAATACTAAAATTAGCACGGGATTATGGTGATGGCACACCCACGGGGATTACAGTTGAGATGGAAAAAAAAATGTACAAAATGATGTAAAAACAAACTTTTGTAAAATAAAATAAAAAAAAAATACTAAAATTAGGCCCTCCCTGGTGGCGCAGCGGGTTAAAGCACAGCACTGAGAAGCTAAAGCCACTTCCACATGAGTTCGATCCCCGCCCCAGAGGTGATCCACATAGTGCGGCAGACTTCTCCTGGCAGGCCCACTGCTCCCCTAAGCAGTGTACTTCATCAATAGGCCTGTTCTGCTCCCTGCTCTTCTCTGGTGAAACCTGTCACTGCCCCTGCACCTCCAGCCTATGCCCATGTTCTATATGCATAAATAAATAAATCTTTAAAAAAAAAAAAAAGTTACACAATCACACACAGGACAAGTCTTATTTATCTTCAATTCCTCAATTTCAGAGTATATTTTAAACAGAACTATCAGGTCTTATATCTGAATTCAACTCTAAATCTAAAGTCAAATAAACTCAGAAAATGAGAAAGAGAAGAAACACCGGTCTGCTAATTTGTCATGTCCATCACTTGTATTATTATAGAAATCTCTCTTCTTAGAAATTTCTAAGATGTCTTAAGTGGCAGAAAATGAAAATAGAAGTTATAAACATGGGGGGGGGGTTTCTTTAGCCATGCTTTTTCTAAAATATTTCAGATATCATAACATACTTCAGTAGGGAAACTTAGAATGTAAGGTCACAGTCTAGTCCTTAATCATGGATCAAATTTTCATCACTTCTTTTATTCCTAAGGGTGGAGCTCAATGCTTAAATAAATCCTGTCTCAGAGTAGAATGAGGCACTAAGTGATAGGTGGACAATTCTCAATTCATTTGCACTTATTTTACCAACAAACTCGCCAAAGCAATACCCAGACTTATAATGAATATTTCCTAACGAAGAAAGAAACATTCTGTAATCAGGTTGCATGAATTTGTTCAGCAACTTGCCAAATGCTTAACAGCTCAGTGCTAAGGGAGAACAAGTCATCTATCTTCGGGAGACTCTCAATGTAGATGGCAGACAAAACCAGTATGTTGGGTGGTACCCATTAGGAGCTTAACAGCTCCAAGAAAGGAGAAATCCTTCTACACTAGAATAAAGTATTAGAAAAAGCTTCAGATCCAGACCTTGAAAAGGATATATACCTGATGGAACAAACGGAAAGATAACACGAGAAGAGGCTCGGAAGCATGCATGAATGAATCAATAAATATTCACCAGTACAGCTACCTGCAATACATTTTATGGGATCTTTTTACATGGATGAATACCAAACCCCGGAGAAAGTTAGCAGACCTGACTGAGTGCTCTCACAGTTTTGTGCTAGGAAACTGTGGAGACTGTTGTCTCGGAAATGGGCTGTCCCCACCAGACAGGATGGGCGGAGGCAATGGGGCTGTGATCTCTGAGCAACTAGAGAGAAAAAGGGGCCAAGGTGATTCCTCCCCACTGGATAAGCAGACATATTTGACTCTAACAACTTGGAAAATTAATGACAATAGTCAGGATCAGAAATAGGGTTTCAAAATTTAACTTAGAAAAAAATGAAAAAGTCTTCTGAAAACTTCAAGTCAATTCCCTCTCTATTCGATGTTAAAGGCCTATTTAAAGTTCAGCACAAAAAACTTCATATATCGCACATCAACGTGGATGATGTGTTTATTAAATGTTTTAATAAACAACATACATCTTAGGATTTTAAAAAAGGAATTAAAGTCAAAATGCAAAACAGGAGCAATAATTCCATACTTAAAGTTAAATTTTAGTCACTGTCTTTTAAAAGTTAGCAGATGCCAGTTGTAACTTTTACGAAACCTATTCCCCTAAGGAAATGAACATGCTTTATGGATACCCTGGTATACATGTGGCAGAGAACAGTCACATGCCATGTCTCCAGGCATCTATAATTCACCAGAGGACTAATTAGGGGACCTAAATGTTCTGCTATAGCACAACCCCCACAAACAACAACTGTAAACACAGAGATACAGTAGAAAAATCCAACCTAATTCCACTCATAAATTAGATAAACTCAAAAAGATTTAGTCTAGGTAGGACAGTCCAGTGGTTAAGATCTAGGACCTGGGAACCAGTGGGGCTTAGTTCAGCCTCCTCCTAATTCCAACTAGTTAAGCAATACAGTTCCTCCTAAGTGATGTGAAGATAAACTGCTCACTTTCTGAGCAATAAGTGAGATTATGTATACAAGTTTTTAGCAGAGTACCTGGCACAAAATAGAAATCAAAAAAATGTCTTTTTTCAATACCCTCAAATAGTGAGACTTACCCCCTAAAGCTGGATTTAAATTTTTATTTTAGGGCAGAGTCACTTCTTAAAATGTGAAATGGTCACTGTTAGGCACTTCTAACACCACTTTGGCTTAATGAAATAGTTTATGAAAGCTTGCACTATAGTAAGATAATTAATGTTTTCCACTGGACATTCTCTACTATAGTGATTTCTTACTAAAACCTGGAATTTCTTCAAACCCCAAACATAAGAGTAACAAATACAAGCTCAGACATCTTCTTATCAGAATGTTGATTTTATACTTTCTAGAAAATTCTTAACCATTTGCCATTTTACTGTTATCATTTCTGACATTTACAATGAATTTGTCTTACACCTTATATTATATATTATATTATATATTATATATTATATAATATATTATATTATATAATAATATATATAATAATATATAATAATATAATTATATAATATATTATATATTATAT